GGAAGGTGGGGGCGGGGCAGGGGGAGAGAGTGGACCAGTAAAAGCTTATCTACATCGGAGGGTTTCTGCAAGTAGGAATTACTGGCACCAGGAAAGCAAACTTTGCATTGTGTTTGACTGCGGGCATACAGAAAAGATGCCGGGTCTTGAACGTTTATGTTGCATCTAACACCTTAATAAGTTACCCTAGTGACTCTAATAGATGCCACTTGATTATCTTGAAGGGACTGCACAGAACCGCATGTATACACAAGCCCCGTGGGGCAGGGATGGACGTTGGGGACAGTGACCTAGCACTGCTCATCTGCAAATCCACCTCACTCACGCCCCTCCCCTCCCCGCGTCCCCTGGCCACTGGCACGCGCAGAAATGACGTCCTTGTAGGTCTCTGCAAGGACTCGGGAAGGTTACCCCGAGTCTCTGCAGGTCGGCGGGGGCTCTGTAACCTCTCAGCTTCTTGCTTTTCAAGGTAAGGAGACTAAGGCTCAGAGTGGTTATGTGACCCATCAAAGGACACACAGCTAGTCCCTCCCAAGCCCGGATTCCAACCCAGGAACCCCGGGGACTGAGCACTGCTCCTGAACTCGATCCCATTTCTTGCTCTCACACTGACCATTCCGCCCGTCCTCGTCCACCAGGGGGACCCCTGGGTGTCGGTCCAAACCCCACGCAGGCTCCACGTTGCCTGGCCCTCTTGCCCAGGTGGGGCAGGGCCAGGCAGGGGACGCCGCCCGCCACCCTCAGTGACTGGCGAGGGTCTTCCCGGGCGCTGGCGCCGCCGCCCCTGGTGACTGCGGGCTATGGGGCAGCACCGCAGCTGAGAATGCAGCTGCTCACCTGTCTGCGTTCGTGTGCAGCATCGGTGCCGGAAACACCAAGTCCCTGCCCTCCCCTCCACTCAGAACTCACCTCGATCCTCTTCCCTGCGTCCTCAACACACCGCTGCCCTGAACGGAGCGGGGTGTCCTGTGGAAAGAGGGTGCTCCCTCAGGCCCTGCAGAGTGGTCCATTTTCAGCAGTTACGGGTCCGGGGAGCAGAAGCACAGAAGACCCCCAGCGTTAGCAAGCAAGCAGGAGTTGACTCGACACACCTTAGGAGCCTGTCTGGGCTGAATGGTGTCCCCCAAACTCTTCTTTCTGGAACCTCCAGATGTGGCCAATATTTGGACCAGGGTCATGGCCACTAGTAAAGTCAAGACGAGGTCACACTGGGGCAGGTGGGCTTCATCCCAGGCTTATACACGCTGGTGTCTTCGCAAGAACCGGAGGCACAGAGAAGGACATGGGCAGGGTCACGTGGACATGGAGGGGGACATGGGAAGGACGCAGGGGGTGGAGCATCAGCAGCCAGGAGAGGGGCAGGACAGGTCTTCCCTGCGCCACCTGGTTCTGGGCCGTGGTCGCCAGCCCGGTGAGAGGGTGACTTTCTGCTGTTTCCGCCACGGCAGCCCCAGGACACTGACACAGCCTTCGGAACCGGTCTCCCAAGTCCCTGGCCGTCGCCTGCCAGGCCAAGTGTTTCCGACACAGAGCGACACCTCAGATCCACGCCCCCCCGGGCAGAGAGAGGCAAATGCACTTCAGTTCCTGCCCCCGCGTGGGTTTCCAGGTGTGAACTTAGGGGGAAAATAAACCTGCGCGAAGCAGCTTCTGCGAAGCCACTGGGGACAGGACTGGGCGAACGACAGCGGCCCTGCGGGCTGAGTGACTTCCAGCCAATCCCACAGCAAACCCCGTTCCCCTGGGCGGGCTGCCCCCCCCCACCGTCCCCCACAGAGGCCAGGAAAGCCCGGCTCACGGGTTTGCCCTCAGCAAAGTAACAGTCTAGTATATTCGGGTTGGCACACGAGAGAGGGGTGCAGAGCACAGGGCCGCGTGGTCTGCCAGCTGTGTGGCTCCTGCCAGGGTCTTGTTTGGACCAACGGTGAGGCCGCCGGGGAGGAGCCCAGAAGACTGCGGTCCACGCACGGCGGCTGCGAACCTCAGCCCACGCTGCACGCGTGTCAGCGACACGCCCCTCCGCACACGGCCCCTGAAGAACATGCACGGGCTCTCGGCCCCAGTGCACCTAGTGCCCCCAAAGGGACCCTGCCGCACATCTCTCAAAGGCAAAGCCTTCGACTCCGTTGTGCCGGAGTCCCTGGGGGTAACCCTTAATTCCCAACTTAAATGTAAAGCGCTGAGAAACCACCTTCGTACAAGTCCATTTTGAAACAGAAAGCCTGGGGCGAGCCGTCAGCCCTGAAAAGGTCGCCTCACTTTAAAGGACCGCGAGACCTGTCCACAGGATGCAGAAACATCCACGAGACGCTGCGTCAGGGTGACCGAGACCGCTCTGGCCCTCACCCAGGCGCGTTAGAAAGGCGACCCCATCTGTGGGTCTACTGAGCACAATAAGCCGACAGAAGACGGACCCAGAGACGGGGACGCAGGGAGCAGACCGACAGCCCTCAGGGGCGGGGGTGGGAGAGTTAACCCGAAGAACTTCTATGCTAATGTGCACCACCCACGGACACAGACAGCAGCGCAGTGCAGTGGGGACACGAGCCTGGAACAGGGTGTCAAGGGGGGAGAAAGGAGGGGCATCTGTAATATTTTCAACAATAAAGATAAAAAAAAAATGAATCTGGAAAACAATTAATAAAAAAGATCACCAGCATGAAATACGTATTTCTATTGTTTTTAGAAACGGAAGACTGAATTTCAGGGTCAAAGTCCTGGGACAAATATTCTAAAATTTTGTGACTCGGATGCGCTCCCGTTACCTCTACGTTTCAATGCGTCTGGATGAAGTTGAACACCTGAGCATCTTTTCCATGGGCTTTTATTGCTCTGTAGGGGCATCATGTCCCAGAGCCCCCTAGATCAGTCTAAGGCTATTTGATGTCCTCGTTACGCTTGCATGTTCCAGGACATAAACACACAGCAGGTGGCGTTGCTGGTACCTGGGGTGTCTGAACTGTCCCAGGCAGCGCCGGTCCGAGGACTCCGGTGCAGTTAGGGACGGAGGACACAGCAGGACTTGCCCTCACCTGCCAGCAATGCCCACAGGTATTGTAGCTGCAAATGTTTGGATGCCACTTACTGGCTCCTGCCTCTCAAATGCAACCCACTGCATCGCTCATTTTGTGGTTTCATCTCGGAAGGCTATAAACTGAACTTTCCTGTTGTCTTCATTCTATGTAACTATTAATAACGTTGGTAAAAAGACACAGGGAAGAAGAAATTGCTGTTTTTAGCAACTCTCTCCTTTGCCCTGGAGCAGTCCCCGCAAAGACAGCATGTTTCTGACTCCCAGCAGTCGGTCACAATCCCGGGGAATGAGCTCGAAGGCGGAGACCGCAGCCTGGACCTTCCGACGCGGACCCTGGTCCAGGGGAGCCCTGCCGGCCACGCTCGGGCTTCCTTGCTATAAATATGACACCCCTCAACACTGGGCACAGGTTCGAGCTCGAAGGCTATGGCAGGGAGGGATGGATGTGGAAACCTGTCACCCTTGAAGGAATCCCAGAGCCCTTCATTTATTTGGCCACCTACCTGGCACCTGGCCGTCAGCGGTATGACGGGTCCTGTGAAACAAAGGGGCTGTCGCCGCTGGGGAACCAGGGGGCTGCGCCTCCTTCACAGCCTCCAGTAACCCAACAGAGGACACAATGCACGCGATCCCCTGTTCATGTCACTACACAGTAATCTGCACAGCACTGCTGTATGTGTATACATCATGTAGTAGCAGGTGCACACAGTACTGTATATGTATATACTGTCACATGATAACCATGGCTATCTGTTTCAACACCCAGGCAAGGCCAGCCTCTGCATGAACGGGCTCCGGACGCAGGATCTCGAATTGTCGGGCCAACCCGACAAAAAAGCCATCGTCACAACTATGTTTGCTTCAGATGTTTCTTTTGGCACATATACGCAAGTCCTGCTGTTGAGAGACAGCTCGAAACTTTCTGAGGGCTCCAGGATTTCCGGAATGGTCTGCCTGCCTCAGTAGAGTTTTAAAAGACATTTGTTATAAAAAAAAAAAAAGCAGTGATTCCAAATAGAGGACTTGCCTGTGGCGGGAGGTGCCACACACTCAGTTTTTGTTGGTTTGTGTGCACAATGAGAAGAGACCGTGATGCAAGATTTTCACGCCGTCTCGTGACATCACTAACGCATCTACACGGACGTCAGGATTCACTGTGGTGTTGGCGTACACCGTGCTGATGAAGAGTGGAACTTCAGAGTTAGCAACAGACAGTAGAATTACAGTCGTGGTTTCAGGACGCAAGAAAGAAAACCCACGTTCTCCGTGGACAGACGTACACCCATGTCCTGCCAAGGGACCCCCACAACTGGCTGATGCCTGGGCTAGTCTAAAGCAGGTTCATCTGAGCTCCTCAGTGCTTTCTAAAACTTACACACTACTATTTTAAAAAATAAATGTACCGGCACATATATATATCAAACAGCCCTCACCATTAACTAAATAGTAGCTACAAATAACCTATTATTCCAGTTTTGTTTGTTTTTTTTGTTTGTTTGTTTTAAAAAATGGAGGACATATATTAAAACTCTCCAAACCACCTGAACCAGATTTTAATAATATTGCTTTAAAAATTTATCTTAAGTCCACAAAGACTGCAATTGTAACAGGAAGAATCTAAAGGTAGAAGTACTATCGGGGGAAAGGACACACTCAAAATCTACTAACGTATTCTGAAAACGATTTAAAAACTTTACAACTTAATTACTGGAAGATTATAGAAGTGCTCCAGTGCTTTGTACTGAGTGAGTGCGGGGTACGTGCGCGGAGTAATAAAAGAAACTATTAATTTGCCTGTTTCCCGGGGGAGGGAAGGAGGCGGAGTGGGAGTTATGCTATTTAGATCTCCAAATGGATTCTGCTTTGTTTGCCACAATAAATCCTACCGGGTTGCTAATTAACCCTACTTCAAACCACTCCCCCTTTTCAGGACTTACAGACAACGCTGGCCCCTGGGACGACTCACCGTTCATGTTCTTGAAGATGTTCAGGATGGGGAGGATTTGCCGGTAATAGGGCACCAAGGCTTCGCCCACCATCTCGGCCGACACCACCAGGTGCTGGAGGACTTTGAGGGTGACGCAGATGACCTGCCGGTTCCGGAGGTTCAAGGCATCTACGGGGCAGGACAAGGAAGGGGCCAAATGAAAAACGCTCATTTCTACAGCTATGGGGCGCACCGACCAGTAGACCGTTCAATTAGCCTCACTCGACCGGGGACCACTGGTGGGATGAGCCCTGTTGTCACAGCTTTGAGGGTGCGCTGTGGCCCTTGACACTACGCGTAGGGTCTTGGTGGGGTGTCATTTGTTCTCCCAAGCGGTAGCGATCCCTCACCGCCCGAAGAAAGTAGCTCATCATCTCTCACAGAAGAGGCGGTGATGGACAGGTAGCGTGGAAGAGGAAAGGTCAGTTAGTGTCGCTGGAGTTAAAGGACCCTATGAAGGTTGATAACAGGTCTTTTTTTTAAATTTTTTTTTATCCTCACCCAAGGACTTTTTTTTTTTTTTTTTTTGCATTTATCTTCAGATAGAGCAGGAGGGAGAGAGGGGCTAAGAGAGAGGGAGAAACATCGATGCGAGAGAGACACACCGACTGGCTACCACCCACACGACCCCAACCAGGGACGGGGACAAACTGCAACCGAGGTACGTGCCCTTGTCAGGAACCAAACCCGGGTCTCTCTGGACTGCGGGCGGACACTCTAACCGCTGAGCCAAACTGGCCAGGGCAATAACGGATCATTTTTATGCAACAGATCCATTTTCAGTTAACTGTCTGTGCTGTTCTTAAAACCATTATCATGAAACACGCATTTATTTGGGAAGGGGACTGGGTCTCGGAGTGAGTGGACACTAGAGGCTGGTTACAGACGCCGTGAATGTTCCTGGTAGAAGGGAATGAAACCGACTGTGTTTACACCCTCAGGTATGCAGGGAAGGAAAGCAACACCTTAAGTGTCTAGAACTTGAAAAGGAATCCACTGTGAATAACTACAAGAGACCAAAGAAACAGAAAATGGTTATAAAGACCGCTCCGGATGCCGTGGCGAGATGCGCTGCAGAGACAGGATGGACGCTGGTGGGCTCCCTGGTGCTCCCACACTAGCAGGGCCTGGAAGGTGCCCTTTGCTCTTTCCAGGGCGCAGAATTCAGAGCCGGGGGCCAGGACACCGATCATACTGTATGAACGTGGCCGACACCCCCGCACTTCCTTGGTGTCAGCTTCTTCAATCACGGGAACTTCATTGACTCCCTAAGATGACTGAAGTCCTGCGGTTTAAGTAGAAGAGCTACAGGGAGCACGCGTTAGAGAACATGCTCAAAGGCGGTGCCTGATAAATGGACTCTTTCTTTTCTTTTTTTTTTTTATCCTCACCCGAGGACATTTTTCCATTTTTTGTACAGATAGAGTGGGAGGGAGAGAGAGGAAGAGAGAGAGAAAGAGAAACATCGATGTGAAAGGGACACATCGAGTGGCTGCCACCCGCACGACCAACCAGGGCCGGGGACAAACTGCAACCGAGGTACGTGCCCTTAGCAGGAACCAAACCCGGGTCTCTCCAGACCGCAGGCCGATGCTCTAACCGCTGAGCCAAACTGGCCAGGGCAATGGACTCTTTCTTGGAAGATGTTCTGCCTTCTAAGAAAAAAGAAAAAGGGTGACTGTCAGCTTCAAGTATGTGCCGTTGATGAAGGGACAAAGGGAACCAGGCTCTCGAAAGGGATGACACGGTGCTCAGTGTCCCCGCGAGGCAGATCTGACATCGTTCCGCAGCCCCAGGACCCACTTCCGCAGCCTGAACCTTGACAGCCCCTCACTCAGGTGGTTGGAAAGTAAGTTTCCGCCAGGAACTGTCTCTTGGTCCTGTGTCTCCTGTGTTGGAGATGCTGCCACCAGGTTCCGGCCACCCGGGGTCAATCCACTCCCGTCTCTCACGTCACTCAAGTGGAAAGTCTCCTAGTCCTGCCTGCAATGTCTCTTAAATTTATGTCTGGCTCCCCCTCCTCCCTCCTCTTCTCCAGTCTCATCCTCAGCCCCGCTCCTCCGGGGCCCCCTCCCCACCCCCGCTCCTCCGGGCCCCCACTCCCCACCCCCGCTCCTCCGGTCCCCCATCCCCACCCCCGCTCCTCCGGTCCCCCATCCTCACCCCCGCTCCTCCGGTCCCCCATCCTCACCCCCGCTCCTCCGGTCCCCCCATCCCCACCCCCGCTCCTCCGGTCCCCCATCCTCAGCCCCTCTCCTCCGGTCCCCCATCCTCAGCCCCGCAACTCCGGTCCCCCATCCTTACCCCCGCAACTCCGGTCCCCCATCCTTACCCCCGCAACTCCGGTCCCCCATCCTTACCCCCACAACTCCGGTCCCCCCATCCCCACCCCCGCTCCTCCGGTCCCCCATCCTCAGCCCCGCTCCTCCGGTCCCCCATCCTCAGCCCCGTTCCTCCGGTCTCCCCATCCTCTCTCTCACTCTCTGGTCCTGTGTCTCCATCCCTTCCTCCTCCTCTGGCTTTGGCCTTGGGGCCCCCCACTGGGTCACTGTCATGACATCTAACAGACCTCCCTTAGTTCTTTCTTCTCTCCCCCAACCTGTCTGTTCATGCTGCTGCTGGATTAACTTTCCTAGAGCATATCTAATGATCTCACCACTTGCTCAAGACATTCATAGTCCCCCCAACTCCATTTCCGGTAGAATAAAGTACTGCCCTGGCCAGTGTGCTCAGCGGTTAGAGCGTCGGCCTTAGCCCTGAAGAGTCGCGGATTCCTGGTCACAGGCTCGTACCTGGGTTGCTGGTTGGATCCCTGTACTGTTTGGGGCGAGTGCGCGAGGCAGCCAATTGATGTGTCTCTTTTACACTGAAGTTTCTCTCTCCCTCCCTCCCTCCCTTCTCTCCTCTCCCTTCTTTTTACTGACTCTAAACATCAATGGAAACAATATCCTCAGGTGAGGATTAATTTTTTTAAAAAGGTACAAACTAGCCAGTCACAAGGGTGACCCAAAGTTTGAACCAAACTGAACTCTCAGTTAGGAATCCAAGACTATATGAGATCATTTAATGGAGCCGCAACTCTTTCCTCTGGAATCACGAACACGATTTTATAAATAAGTGGCCAGTTCCACTCCTTCGGGCAGAAGGGGTGGGGCCCGGAACACCTCCAGCCAGCCCCCGCCCGCAGTCCAGGCCGTGTTCGCAGCTGGTTGAAAGCGCACATGACGGTGGAGACGAAGGATCTCCAAACAGCTGCGGGCTGGGTGCATGACGGCTCACTGCTGCGGCCCTGGGACACCCCGCAGGCCCTACCCAATGTTCTAAACAACAAAAAGAACAGAAAACCCAACCCAAACACTAAAAATAGAACGCTATAGCGGAGTGTCAGAAAACCCTGGGGAGGCGGAGAGAGAGGGGCATGCCCAGGACCTCACGGCCTGATCCCACCTAAGAGTTGTTTCATCTTCTCCGGAGTCTGGTGTCCCCAACTCGCCTACCGTCAGCTCAGTTTCACCGAAGAGAACCAGAAGCTGGCAGAAATGTTGTTGAGGGTTATGGGCCACAAACATGCTTTCAAAAAGTCTACTAGCCCTGGCCGGTTTGGCTCAGCAGTTAGAGCGTTGGCCCGTGGACCGAAGGGTGGCGAGTTCGATTCAATCAAGGGCATGTACCTCGCTTGCAGTTCGTCCCCAGCCCTGGTCAGGGTCGTGTGGGAGGCAACCAGTTGATGTGTCTCTCTCACATCGATGTTTCTCTCTCTCTCTTCCTCTCACTCTCTCCCTCCCACTCCATCTGAAGATAAATGGAAAAAAATCCTTGGATGAAAAAAGTCTACCAGTGAGTCTCAACATGTACAGGGTTGGGGACTGCACAGACCTGTGACGGCTCCTGTACTAGCAGCTAACATGTATCTTCTAAGGCAAGAATGTAACAGCACTTTACATAGATAGTTTCTTAGTCTCCATCCATCAAATGTTTATTGAGAATACATTACATATCAGTCACTCTTCTAGGACCTGGAAATATAGAACTGATCAAGACAGATAGGGTACTCATCCCTCCGGGGCCTAGATAGTGTAGAAGAAGACACTGAACACGTACTACGAGTAGGATAAGGATTCATAAGAAGGATGGGATGTTAAACAGCGAATCGAAAGGGGCATTCAGACCAGGCTCGTAGTAGGAACAGACACAGGAACAGACCCGAGACATGTGCAGATGTTACGTAGGTGACGAGGACCCCAGGAGAGAAAACAGCATGCTAGACACTGCCCCCCTGGATAAAGGAGTTCTCCTTTTACCACAAGTTCAAGTGGTAAACTCGTAGTGTGTGACCAGAGCCCCAGGTAGCATACAGTCTCCCAGGAGGATTTAGCACTGGGCATATATTTTTCTTGGGATCATCTGTAAGTGGTGGGAAGAGTATACAGATGTGTGTTGCTACGTAAAAGGAAGGTCAGGCTGCAGTACTTTCTCCTGAGCTGGAAGGTTCTTACGCCCTGTCTGGCCTTATCAACCAAACCGGATCGGATGTGTAAGGTCCCGGGTTTCTGCCTTTTCTCTCCACTCACCCCTCGCCCACCCCACTTCCTAGAAAGGACCCTTAGCCACATCCAGCTAACTGTGCCATGCGCTGTTTAGTGAGGATGAGACATGGAAACAGAACCACACAAGCGCGTTTTTATATATATTGAAATAAATGTATAACTGAGCGCGAATTGTTCTCATTGTATTCTGTGGGTTCTGTTTTCCGCAAGAAAGCCTTTCTGTGGGTGCTGGTGTGAGAAGAGGGGCCAGCAGAGGGGGTGCAGCTTTGGCAGCCACAGCGGCTCCTGAAGGCTGGCTTAGCACAGTGTGTTGTTAGGGTGCGCACCCCAAAACTCCAAACAAAACAGGCCAGAGTGTGTTCGCCGCCACCAACGTTACAATGTGTCCATATAGAATATACTGGTTAAGGAGTAACTTTATAATAGTAACATTAAACTTTGGTTGATTAGCTTTATGCCCATGTGTATAGTTAATGGATCACTTAGTGAGAAATTAATTCTCTCTCTCTCCATGGGCAGTAGATCTATTAGGAAATAATTATTTCATGTTCTTGCGACCCCTACTGACTTGGCATGGTTGTG